CTATTGGGGGCGCGAATGGACGTCCAACGTCGTTCAGGGAGGACCCAGTAGCCGTGGACGTCCAGTAGCGCCCTGAAACGTTCCGGACACTCCCCTCGCTCATTTCCGTCCAAAACAATCCAGCACAGCAATCCCTCAGACATATCTGGACGTCCAGCATTGACTACGAACGTCTGGACGTCCCTTCTCATCTCATCCAGAGCTGCCGACAGGACCGTTCTCTGGTCCGTCCCTGGACGTCCAGCAGGTGCCTCATCCTCTGGACCGCCCCTGGACGTCCAACACCGTCCTTTGATATTCTGGACGCCCCTTTAGTCCATCACCGCCCAGAACAGTCTAGCAAAGCCGGTCACCCCGCTCCAGACCTCTCTGAACGTCCAACAGCGACTACCACTATCTGGACGTCGTTCCCGTCCAGAAGTGCCCGCTGGCGCCCGGGCGCGCCGTCCTCTGGACGGTCCTTGGAAGACAACTCGTGGCGGTTAGGTTGATATATCAAAACGATTCCTCATAATAGTGCACAGCAGTCGTGAACGACTCAAAACTGTCCCTCTGTTCGAACTTACGACATGGTGAACAATGTCGTTTCTTGACATCGACATTTCAATAATTTCGGGTTGAATCCAGTCCCTCAGACTTGCCATAATATGGCCGCTTCAAATGTAGTCATGATTATCCCATTTAAATTTAAATACAACAGCATTATAATCATGATAATTTTCCTGAGTTTTAGTTAAACAATTCGCCTTTGGAAGTTACGTTGACTGTGTTGCCATTCAATCATTCTGTAACCGTAATCTGTCACTTGTTTGGTTATTTAGCAGATGATAAAGAGAAACTCTCTCAGAGGATCAAATCAAGAGGAAGAGGGGAGGACAGGATACGGAATCCAAAGAGACTCTCATTGACTAACAGCAGTCTTCCTTTTTTCTACACTGTAAAAAAAGTTTTACTGAATTTTCAGTACTTTCAGTCTGAAGTTTTTTTACAGACCAGTAGTCTGAAAATTCAGACTGTACTCAGGTCTGAAATTTCAGTAGTGCCTTACCATACCACTTAGTCTGAAAATTAAGACAGCCGTTATGAAAATATTTTTGAAAATGTTAAAAATGAACACTTGTTGAGGTAGAGGGTTATGCCCAAGTGGAAGACATCTTTCTATTTGGCACTGCCGTTGGTTGGGATCGAACCGCCAACCTTCGGGATAGGAAGCCGCCACCTTAACCATTCGGCTGCGGGCTACCTGCGTGGGGATCAGCGTCGGCTACTGGTGTTCTCGTTCCGCCTGCCCGGTGGACTTCCCATTAAAAATTAATACCGGTAACTCTGAATTACAAATTCAGTGTATAGTCTGAAAATATACTTCAAAAATTTCAGACAAATTGCTCTGAAAACCTGATTCAGAGTAAAAAGTCTGGATTTTCAGTCAAAACTCAGAAAATCTTGTGTCATGGTCTGAAAACAAGATTCAGAGTGCCAAATCTGAAAAATATCTACTGAATTTTCAGATTTTTTTTTACAGTGTACATTAGTTCCTTATGATCCCCAAGTTTCTACTAGTGTAAAGAACACTAAGGTAAAAGGCACATTTTTTAAATTGCTTTTCTTTTTTAAAATAAGCATATCCTTTGATTAATATTTTCTTTATAACAGAGGGAAGTGCACAAAGATCGAGTTAATGGAGCCCATGACAATGCTCAAAACCTAGACCGTGGCTCTAAAAAATCGTCTGAACCAAATGGTGAGGGTGCACCTAATTCAGAAAATTCGGCTCAACCAAATGTTGAGGTTCCACCTAATTCAACGGGAGATGTCAATAGTGAAAACAGCAGTATTGTAAGTATTTAGTGTTCACCTCTTACATTCTTTCTTTACCTTACTGGGAAGAGGTAATGGTGTATGTAAAACGTGGTCTGGCGTAGGCCCCCACCTAACTTTGTTACGATTGGTTCACAACTGTTTATAAGTAAGATAGCAAAATGCACTATTTTGACTACAGTGTAGTGTTGTGATTTCACAGTTGCTCCGTATCGTGAAAGTGTTGAGAAATCACAAAGTATTTTTAACAGTGAAGTCTCCATCCACACTTTTGTGAATGCCATTAACATTCAGAAACACGTAAATTAGTGTGCGAGCAAGATAAATGTCATTTTATTGCTTTTCTACGACTCTCGTTGTAATGTTGCGATATGAATAGTGATGATAAATGATAAAATTTGTCATACAGGTTCAACTTTAGGGGGTCGAAACATTACAATACTATTTGTAATTATAATTTACAAAAAATAACGTAACTTCACAGAAAAAAGAATAACAGTGTGCAAGATGACAGTCCCAGTGACACCAAGGCAACATTTTAGCCAGCTCTGTATGACAGTTATTTTATTACCTAAGTCTTGGGAAAAGCTTGTTTCTATACAGCTACCATTGTTTCCCTTTTTTTTCTGAAAAAAATAAGAAGAAATCCGAATTGCAACTATTTAATATTTCTCGAAACTACGAACCCTGAACAACGAGGTGGTATTCTATATAACTATTCTTAGCCATATAGCTATTGAGATCATCGATATCAAATTTCGAAATTTCCAAATTGAATCCAAAACAATTCTGAATTCACTCAAACCCAATAAATGACAATTTGGTTCAAAAAATTCTTTTAACTTCAATATCGACCCTTGAAGTCACTGAATCTACCTTGAAACTCTCTGCTTCAAAGTGTAAGCCTTAGAATATTTAGTCTGATATGCAAGGAGGGGTTGCCTTGTGTTACCAGCAGAGGCAAATTTCAAGTCCTAAAAACGCAACTTTTTCAACCGTGCACAGCTTGCTGTTGTCACCCAGTACCTGGATTTAAACAGGTTGTTGGTGTGGTTGCAATCATTTGGACACCATAGGAATTCAGTCCACCACCAGAAAGCTGGGTGGTGGCTGTATAAATATTGTGAAAAGTTTACTCCTTCTAGTTTTCCCCTTAAATTTGCTCAACAAGGGTGGAGCTTCCGTACATGGGCATATATAGTGCCGATATGCCGAGATGTTCAGACACAAGTTATGTCAAAGAGCGTCGGGAACACTCTTTTTCAACAGCGTGAAACTAATTTGCACTAGAAGTCTTGCAAATGAAGCCCTCAAAAAATACTTTTCATAAGTTTTGAAATGCGTCATCTTTTCACTGGAAAATCAAAGGTTCCTCTGCGCACCTTTAACCATTTGCACACGCACACTCAGATGTAGTTGACTTTGTGCCGCGGATGTTTTTGCGTCTTCGCAACTGCACGGGACAAGGGACACTTTCTTGCAGGATTCCAACAAAGAATAAGTCAGGCATTTGCCAATACTCGGCTGCCGTAGACGTCAGTGTTCCGGTTGCATGCGTCACGCAGTGCTCAGTCTTTATGTGTTTTCTTGCCGGAGGAAGGCAACGCCGACACGATGAGTGAGAGAGATCGGAACGCAAGCCACGAACAGAGCAGCAGCGCGGCAGCCAGGACGGCGATCACGTCCAGCATGAAGACCTGGTACCAGTGCAGCTGGCGGCTGGGCGCGCGCAGGTGCGGGGCACCGCCAGTGCGCGCCACGTACTCCACCCACCACACGGCCCGCTCCAGCGGCGTCTCCTTCTGGTCCTTCAGCGCAGCCCCGACGCGTCGGATGTTCTCTCGATACCTTTTGGACAAAACCCACCGGCCGCCTTACGTTAGAGCAGGAGTCCCGATCCCCTTAATAAAAAGGCCACTGAAATCGTTTCGTATCGTACAAGATCAGACAAAAACCCTGAGAGTATAGTTGTAATCAGCTATCACCACCTACCTTGGGTTCTCCAGGACGTCGGTGAGCGCTTCATAAAACCTCTCCTCGGTGATGTGTTTGTACTGCAGGCGCCGACCCAAACCGGTTCGTTCGACCTTCTCAGCATAAGCCGTCTGGTCGACGAAGAACGGCACTCCGAGGATGGGAACGCCGTGGTAGCTCGCCTCCTGAGTACTGAGTCCACCATTGTGGGACACGAAGCAGCGGATGTTCGGGTGGCCTGGTCACGGAAACAATGGGCAGTGCTCATGACCTACAGTCCCTTTGCTAGGTGAACGCTTAAATTTAGCTTGGCAATTGTCGTACCTCCGTAGAATTAAAAAAATAAAGATTTAGGCTAATTTTGATGCGTAGGTCGTATATGTACTTGTGAACACAGTGACGTGATTTAAACTCCTGGTTAAGTTTCTATTACATACGGAAACTTCGTTAACAAATCACGATACATCGTTGTATTACGAGTTGCTGCCAAAGCCCTAACAAAAGAGTATGAAATTTGTATATATTTTGCCAAATTTTCTGACCCAAAAATTTTCGTTCGTTACGAAATATGTGTCATACGAAATATTTTGAAAATTGGCACTTTCGAAAAATTCTCGTAAATTATTTTTACGAAGCATTTTGTAACTTTTTTTTTTTTTTGTTGTAAAATCACTTAAACGTTTTACAGTGCAGCTTTATCAGATGCAATTGGACTTTTCTAACCTGTGCCTAGGCTAAGAAGGCCGACTAAACCCATTTCGGATCAGATTTTGATCTTCCCTCTATGTACGCAAGGAGGTTTGTGGTGCAAGAACCACAAGGAATGATAGTCATAGCCTATTTCGTCCGTAACATAACGTTAAGATCACCGGTAACATTCAATTTGGCCGTGCACGGTGCACGGAGCTCACCCAGACGAGGTGGCCACAGTTTTGTACAGAGGAAGACGAGCCTTTTGACGAAAAAAATGGAAACCCGCAGAATTTTTCATCGGGGCGAGTCCAGGAAAGATTGATTCTAATTAGGGGCTGATCCGAAACCGGTTCAGTCGCTTTAAGTATGCGTGATTTTGTACATAACGTGAGACACAAAAATTTGTATCTGATTTAGATGTGTACGGGGCGGAAACTTCTACACTACGAACAAATATGTCCCTCCCCATTTAGTGTGTCGTCCCAGCCTCCTTGCTGAACGAATCTGGCAGCACAGGCAAGCCGAGATGGCAACTCCATTCAGTGGAAGACCAAGCCTGCCTTACAGCACAACACACTGCGATGAAGTCAAGTCTGCAATCATTGGTTTGCCCTAGTAACTGACATACCTAAAAGGTCATTTTGCGGGAGCCACTTGGCCACCCGTACATTTGGCGGCAATTTGTCCATGATGTCGTCGTCTTCGTACTTCCAAAGCACACGCTGTTTCACACGAGAGAACGCTCGCAGAATTGCATCGCGTCGGTCCTTGGCAAGGTTAGCCGACCTGTTGATAGAATCGGTCGGTAAGAAAACCAGAAATTGCATACTTATCATCACAACTATTACATTTCAAAAACTCAGAAAAGACGAGAATCGTTTTTTTTCCTTTCCGGTAAGTAAAGGAGACACAATACTGAAAAAAAAGTAATAACATTTTTGATCCAAAATTTGCAGTTTTTAAGAGATTCCCTCCGCAAAGCTATTTGAGATGGACTTAGTTTGCCGACATTGTAAACAACAACGACGATGTCTTCGCCACCCTCACACGCCAAAAGTACTTACTCTTTAAGTTTTTAATGAGCCTCCTATTGGAAAATGTACCGAGGACACCTCTTGTTTGAGTTTGATATGGATGCAGGGTTTTAATTGAAGTGCATACTTTTTTACAATAGAGTTGGCGATATACCTCACACCAGGTCAGGCGCGGTTTTATGGGGGGGGCGAAGGGGCGATCGCCCCCCCCCGTCGGCCCAAATCGCCCCCTGGGGTGGGTAGGCAATTTGTCCGACAAAACCCCTGAAAGTAGGCAACCCACAGCAAATCGCCCCCTCCGTCAGATGGACTTAAAACCGCGCCTGCACCAGGTTGCGCATGGAACTCTTCAAAGATAGGCCTGTTCTAGCATACTACTTAAAGATTTTCAGAGCTTTAGGTGGTTCCTAAAATTCAGGGAAAGGTTCAGATGAAAAGGAAAATGTTCAGAAACATAGGCTTCACGACTTCACAATTTCACCATGGTGTCCCCTTAAAATATCCCATCAAATATGTGAATTGACTGTAAAACCCTAATTTTAACGGTACCCTTCAAGGGCAGCTGTCTTGTTGAGATTTTTCCTGCTTCGGTGAATTTATAAACTACGTCAACTTCAGTATTCCAGCGCATTTTTTAAAGTATTGCAAATTTTCTTCTTCAAAAGTATTTTAAATTTTTGTTGGCTGAGCGATTAGCGAAGCCTATTACTCC